GTCAACACCCAGATGCACCGCGTGTCTGCGTCGGTACTGGTACTATACAGCACTAGGTCGGAGTGCAAAATATCACCGAAGTCTTGTACACATGCTCGAGGCCGCGGTCGCTACAATTACTCAGTATGTATCCCTTCAATATTCGATGTTGCTCATTGACCCTCCCCGTCCACGAAAGGTCTCTAGGTGCGTCTCTTTCTATCTTGCATGCTGTTATGACCACCTGAGGTAAGTTTCGCGTTCTTGAATCCTGCAATTCCGGTGAGTTTGTGCATGACTAGTAGCTCCCTCACTAGACGTCCCTGGACTAGTTTTTTTTGCCTCTGTCTCATGATCCTAACATCTAACGGTCCATAGCACAATCCTTGATCTCTTACTGTGCTTGACCTCATGCCCCGAGACGATTCCCTATCAGTGTCTTCTGCTGTCTGTGTCCTCCGTCGCTCATAGCTCTACTGTCCTCGCTTGTCTTTGACATTATGCTGGGTTTATCTGAGGTCAGTGTGCAATTCCATGCTCTCGGCTTGTATGTAGATCCACATCTCTCGAGGTACGGTTGCGTTGTCGTAGTAAAATGTATCTACCGCGTTCTGTAGATCACTTTTGTAGTATAGCTGATAATACATTTTGTGCTTGTCGTATATCCTAACATGTGCGGCAATTTGCACGCATTGCGACGTATGTGTGTGAATTAATCATGGGATTATACTAGATTACCAAGCCCATCGTGATCGTCAAAAGCTTTGGAATGGCACCAATTGTTGTATTGCTCGGAAGGGACCCCAGTATTCTATTCCTTACAATGAGACAGCAACGAGATGGGAAGGGATCCGATGTGGTCGACATCCGATCACAACGATTGCACCTATCGCAAGGATTGTGTCCATTGCGAAGACATGGCGAGGTGCTTGTTCTGGATCGCGAGATCAGAAAGAATTCTGTGATGGTGGCTGGCGCAATGGATAGGGCACCTATTTGACTCCCGGAGATCGCCGACCGCACTGTCCAAGTTGGGCATCACCACAGCGGCTCGGCTCGGCGGTCTTCCACCGATGTCGATGAACCACCAAGTCGTAAGCGGTCTTCCGCAGATGAGACAGACCAATGTGTCAATGTACTCATATGCTTTGCAAGACGAACATATGCTTGAGCCATACAATACTCTTCCAGCGACTTCTAGCGCCTTACGCCGCGTTCCTCCGGAGATATTCTACGACATCTTTGAAGTGCTCAAGGACGACAAAGTCACGCTTTCATCATGCACTTACGTCTCAAAATAATAGCGGGCCGTCTCTTTGCCTTGGATGTTTGCTCGGGTGACTGTACCTGAAGTCAAATTGTTCTCTTCCTTCCTGCAATTCCTCGATGCCCAACCTGTCCTAGGAGTGCACATCAAGGCGTTGCGCCTGATTGGTGACCCCTTGGCCTGCTATCATTATATGGCCGTGTCTCACCTCACCCTTGATGGTTTCCTATCTATCATCTCTCAGCTGTCAGCGCTACGTACACTGTTCCTCTGGGATATTCAAGCTTGCGACCACCCCTC